CTACCAAACAGATGATATAATAATCTTTCAATTTTAAAATTCTGAAATTTATATACTTGGAGTTACTTTTGACTCTCATTAAAAAATGTTTTTCGAGATACTTTTTACTCTCATGCACAACTTTTTCTCTCATAAAATTATATAAGAGAGGCTATATTTATAATAGGTAAGGACAATATAAATTTAGGTTATGAAAATGTAGGGAAGGATATTTAGACGATTTGAAATGAGATAATGTATAAATGTGATTTATTATAAATATATTTAAAATAGGTAGGGACGATATTAATTTTGGCTAATATTCCTAAATTTATTATAATTGGTCATACTGGGAAAATACTATCTGTGAGTATAAATGACTACTTATATAAATTTATATCATCGTAGAACATATTTATTAAAATTAGGAAAATATTCAATGGCGTATATCTCTCCAAATATTCTAAAGTGTATTTATAGAACACATTTCCTATAAAATGAAAAATATAATCTTTGAGTATATTGATTAGTTATAACCAATCTTAGATATAATCCTCCATTATAAAGGTCAGAAGTTAATAGTATAAAACTTTAGGTTTCATCTCATTTTCATCAATATCATCATATCTGCTTCTACGACTAACGAGAACATAAATACCAATGAGATACTACTGAGTGAGACTTCTAATCAGAAAAGGAAGAGAAACTCTTCTTTCTTAAAAGACTCTGAAGTTAATAATACTCTGAAAGTTAGGCAGAAGAAATTTGGTGTTTTGCCCTTGAAAAGAGTTTTCGGTACTATTTTGGGTGATGTTACTAATACATTTCAGTCTTCACCAACTACCCCACAATCAGAAGTCTATAATCATCATTTATCCGGATCACAATTCATCAATGGGTTGACTGGTTCTATTTCTTCCCTTATTGTAATTTTTAGACAATTCATTTTCCTATTTCTTACATCTACCTATTTAAACTAATATTACCAGACGAGGCTAGAGGAAATATATCAAGTGATTTAAAGAGATTAAAACAGAAATCCAATACACCAGGCAAGGTTTATATCTATATTGCTAACAAAATATATTGAAAGCATTTTTAAATGGCTTTCTAATAATTTTTTATGATTATATGTTTAGCTGATTTATTCTCAAAGTGTGGTAGCTCTGTACTTTAACCCAATCTTGTGAGTAAGACAACATCTTCCAATATCCGCCCTACTAATCTATTGGAAGCATTCTCGACCTCTGAAAATGCTGTGAATGAAAACGAATTGGCCTTTGGTTATACAGACCTTGAATTATTTGAAGGTAACTTAAATATTTTTAATTTAATTTAAGTCTGTCCTAAATCATCTATGCTTTATTATGACCCGCGTAAATTTTTTGTTGAAGAGCAAGATGCGCAGTTTTATGATATAAGCTCTGAAGAGGAAGATAACGTTATTCATACTAATTCCGACACAGAATTGAAGCAGAATTTGTGCCTCAACAAGATGAGAATGTTCTAACTGTTTCTGATGATGTTCCTGATGATCAAAGAGCTAGGGTAAAGAGTATGGCAATTTTGTTCAAGAGTATGTTTGAAGAGAAACCTATTAAGAAGGGATGGTCCGTTGCCAAGCGCACTGGTAATATTAATGTTGGATTTTATTATGATTGGATTTTTTAATGAATATTCATATATTTTTACGTGTTTTTACAGTTTCAAAGCCTAGGAAAAAGAAAGCACTTTCTAAGCACAACTTGGGTAATACGTTACATCTGTTTTATATCATTATGTTCCTTTTTTTTAAAGTTTAGTGTTTGAATAGTTTATATCTCTTTTTTTCTAAAGGTCTAGAGTATGTTGACGAAGGTGATCCAGTCTATAAATGTGAGCACTGTGGTGCAATAATGTGGTATGGTGAATGCCTTGAAAGGTAACGTCAGAGTAGAAAACCAAAATTTTCTTTGTGTTGTGGTCAAGGTCAAGTTCAATTGCCATTACTTAAGCCTTCACCAGATATTATAACGAAATTGCTAAGAGGTGACGATGAGATCAGCAGATACTTTCGGGAGAACATCAGACAATTAAATATGGTTTTCTCATCTACTTCTCTATGTGGTAAAATTGATCGATCTGCTCCACCAGGCCCTGGACCAAAAATGGTTGTTCTTCAAGGAGAGAATTATCACTTGATGGGTAGCTTAAAACCAACCCCAGGAGGAGATCCGAAGTTTGGCCAGCTTTATATTGTTGACACTGAAAACAAAGTTCAGAACATGTCGATTATTGTTGGGTATGACCTAATTAAATTGTCTATTTTTTTATATAAAAAACGCCTTCTGTTCTCCACCAAAACATCTCTATAATCACCATTTTTATATTATTGTTTTAACAGGAAATATAAAACAAAGCGTGAGAAGTCTAAAAAAAAAGAGATTGAGAAATCAGGTTATTCGAAGGATAGTGAAAATGCTTGACGAAATGAATCCATATGTGAATCAGTTTAGATCTGCCAGAGAAAGGTTTAAAACTTATCCTGAAGAAACATTTCATATGAGGATTATTAGTAATAGGGAGAAAGATGGAATGACATATGATACTCCAACTGCCTCAGAGGTTGCCGCACTTATTCCAGGAGATTTCAATTTGGACATGTATACAAGAGATATTGTTCTGGAAGAGAAGCAGACATGATGGCTTAAAAGGATCAGTGAGATACATCCATCTTATTTAGCACTTCAATACCCTCTTATTTTTACATATGGTGAAGATGAATTCAGACTCGGTATTAATGAAAGAACAACTGAAGCTACTTCAAAGAATGAGAGGCAGAATATCAGTATGAGGCAATGGTACGCTTTCCGACTTCATGAAAGGGAAGGAGAGAGTCATACTCTTCTTCATTCTAAGAGGTTGTTCCAGGAATTCTTGGTTGATTCCTACACTACAATAGAGTCTAACAGACTTCGTTATCTGCGAATAAATCAGAAGCGTCTAAGATCAGATTCTTTTGACTCTATTCAACAAATTGAGAATGATGGGAAAAGTGATATGCACGACCAGGGAAGTCGTTTTCTATTGCCAGTTTCATTTACTGGAGGATTAAGTTTACTATGGGCTTTTGCTCCATCCAGTCAAATTTCACATACAAATCTATCACATATTATATTTTTTTTGGTAAAAATATACATCAAATTTCACATACAAATATATCATATAATACAAATCGAATAATTTGATAGCAAACAGTTACAACCAAAAAAAAACCCGCGCTCCTCAAGCACGGGTGAAAATCTAGTATTGTTTATAACATAATATTTCTCAAAAAGCTTTATTTTGGATGGGGTTTCTGCACTATATACATTTATGGGCTCATTAGAATCTCAAACATGCGTTAGAGATTAATCAAGAACAAAAATCAAAAACCATCCTTACTAGGTTTATGCTGAATCTAAAAATGAATTTCTACTCTCATTAATGATCATTAAGAATAGGAAGCATTAAGGGTACATAAATCACATAATAGTAGTCCCTTTCAGATCAATCCCTAACAAAGACATTTGATGCTTGTTCATTGGTGGCAAGTAGAGAGAATTTTGATGCTTCAAAGACATTTGTGTTCATCAAAGAATTTCTGTATAGCTGGTTCATCAAAATTAGAGAATTTTTTTCTTCTCAATTGTCATGTTTTCTACAAAGAGAGATTAGGATGGATGTATTTATAGTTATACTCTGAGGGAGATTCTCTCAGTTGGTACAAGAAGCAAGTGGATCGAAGTAAATTCAACAACTGTTGAGAGTTAAAAGAAGTGTTTGTTTCTCGATTTGCTTTGGTCAAAAGTGACCTTGTAGTTTGTTGAAGAATTCATCGAGAGAACAAATTACAGTAAAAGAGAAGTCTCAGAATTTGTGGATGTTCAAATGCAAAGCATGCCCAAGAATTCACCCATACATGGAAAAATTGAGTTGTCAGAAACAACATTTTCAAACTTAACATATTGTATTTACTACTTGAAAAATAAAAGGTTGAGAGTGAAGAAGTGGGGATATTCAATGAGGATCATGTTATTGAATACAATAATTGCCTAACAGCAGCCTTATGTTCATGATATATCAGTAATGTATTGGCTATGATTTGTGTTCAAAACAGTGGTGGAGTTCATATGCTTCTATGGAAGCATTGGGTACAACGAGACATGTTTATTTAGTTATAGTAAATCCAGTACCTGCATTTTCTGCTATATTTTATGAACTAACATCATTTATTCATTACCTTTATTTGCAGATATCATGATCACAATATAGCTCTCTCGGAAGCGTTAAATCTAGCAAAACGACGCCTTTTTTGCTATGATGAACGGGCTAAATTGGTCTTGGTCAAGTGAAAGTGCAAGTACATTAACATTCCAGGATCCTTAAGGTATCAGAGTTTGAATCTGTTGCTACTTAGATTACTCTGATTTGTGGCCACACATATATCGATCAGTGTTTTCGATTCATTAGAATACCCAGAAAGAGAATCCGTAGACTTTACCCCTCTTAGAGATTAGTCTGAGCTTCGGATTAGGATTTCGGACTAGGATATCCTAGATTAAACAAAAAGAAAGAGGAAATATCTCTATTGCGAACATTGCGGTGAAGTTTTTAAACATGAAAGATTTGATATTAACTCCCTTTCATATATTTGTTACACATGAATGAGGTGAAAAGTATTGTAAACGTCAGAAAAATGTAAACGTTTGTTTCTTCATCTCCCTCGTCCTGTATATAAGGAAACTCTGATCACCTAAGGCTGTCGCGTTGCTCTTGTTGTAGTCGTGTTAATGATGTGTAAAGCTAATATTTTATTTGGGCTTAGTTTAATTGATTGTGTAACAAAATTTTTATTTAGGATTTTATCAATCAATTGTTGACGACCAAAAACTACTATAAAATTTTAGAAATTTGAGTCATCTTTTGACACATGATCTAATGTTAAAATGAGTTATATACACTAGTAGTTTCCACAAAGTGTGACAGAAAGTTAATTAAGTTCTGAAAAGAAAACAACCATTTGAGATACTCATAATAAATACATCGTTCATTCTTATGTTTCACGACCCGAGTACATTGGCTTGTCTCCCATCCTACAACAACATAAACACGTGACCAAACAAAATAAGCAAATATGTCTCATGAGCATACCCATGTCCAACTAGTCGTATTCATATTCAAGAACCAGCAGTTTTATTTGTATATAAAGACCATGGACACATATCAGAATACAAACTAACCGTAGAAGGCAATGTCCAGCCATCTTTAAGCGACCATTCCGATGATGGACGCAAATCCTTGCTCAAAACGGTGTAAGTCCCTCCTTCACCGCGTGGTGGAGGACACAGTTCAACCTGGAAAATAGATAATCGATTTTTACTGAAGAATATAAGCTTCAAAAGTCATATTCACTTCACTTTCACGCTCCTACCTAAGGACAAGCAGTAGAGAATGGACTAAACAATTTCACAGTATCAAACTGCTTTGTTACCTGTAATGCATCATTTTTCTTGACTGCCAAAACCGTTCCAGACCAGTGACAATCATCTTTATGCCAATCAACTACGTCTCCTACTTTCCAAGAGCCATGAGCGAGAGGTTCTTGGTGAGCCTTGGTTTTATGGACTGATGGGTATGAGGGTCGAACCATTATCCACTCTTTCTCCCCATCTTCAAACCGTTGAAAGACTTGTTGCTCATGTATCTCTGAAGCATATCCATTACAAAACATTGTCAAAGTAAGATGATATTAGTTAAACAAAAATAAAATATGCAGTGGAAGATAAAACTCACCTTCTTTTTCATAATCAAGATACTTCAAGCTGTAGTACAATTTCCCCTCCACTATGTATATCCTTACTATCTAATTAACCATTTAAGAAAAAAACAAAACAAAGCTATTAAATATTATTGTATACTTGAAGCCAGTGCATTGATATAAGAGGAAAGGGTACAATGGTTCAATAATAAAGTCAAACTCTAAAGATTGATGCAACAAACTGGAGTCAATTAACATCAAATATGCCCATTTGAAATATTTTATGGATTAATTCCCTAAAGAAACAGAGTCAATTTACATTACCTTGCATCGAAACCAAGCTCCACGAAATCCATGTTCAAAGGATCTTACTTCAACAGTTTGGCCATCTTTGAAAGGTAGGTTGGTTTGAGACATTTTCTTTTTTAAGAACTGCACCAGAGTTAAAAAAATTATAACACAAAGTGTGAATAAACATACAAACAACGGTAAAGGCAAATTTATTAATGTTAATTGTTCATATCAACTGTAAATTTAAAACAAAAAAAAATTAATGTTGACATAAAACAAATCAAAACCATGTCAATTTTATAAATTCAGTTTGTCAATAGAAAACTTTGTTTCAATACTACTTTACTAAAAAGAATAAAACTGCCATGCAATAATATATTAGAACAATCTTTATCAAGAGATGGGCTTATCTCAAAGTTTCAAAACCATATTTACAGAATCTGCTTCAAAACCAATCAATATCAACTTTGAAAATATGAAAAACGAAGTCTGAGGCGATAGGGACACACTAAAGTACTTTTCATCCAAAAAAATAACAAGAGAAAGTATGCAGAAGACTATAAACACCAAGATTCTCAACCTCAAATCATCACAAGAGCAGAGAAAAAGGTGACATACCTGATTCGCTTGTGAACAATTCAGAGGTGGAACCAAAGGTTTGGCGGCGGTAATTTATTTATTAGGCCAGAAATCCTAATTCTAGAGATGCATATACTGTATTAAAGCTAACTTGGAAAACGCAGAAGTCTTGGACAGTCCTTTTAAAGAATAAATAAACCGCAGGGCTTGGCCCGCTTTGAATCATTATTATTTTACTCAGTCGATTAGTTTTTTCTTTTTAAATCAAAAGACTAATCTATTACTCAGACTTAAGGTGGTCTGGGTAATCACATTGGAGTAAAACAACCAACTTACAGAAGATTTCGATAGAAAGATCGCAGTTTAAGCTGAGGAATCAGAAAACTCTTTTTATGTCCTAGAAACATAGAAGATTTTGAAATCTGGAAAGCAAATCCAAAGCGTCATGATCTTTTCCAATTCGGTTAAGAAGTTTGGCAAGTCATGAGGATTCTGAGCATCGCTATCATCTCCTTGCAGTCAGTCCCAAAACTCTGACATGACGAATGTTGAAGCATATTCTTCATTGCCCACCGTAGTGCTTCCAGCTCAAAGTGCAAAGTAGACTCCACTCTATTAAAATTATTCATACCCATTAAGTGACTATTTCCCATATTTTCATTCCAAATCCAACCACATCCACTGAACTGAGCTGTACAGGCCCAAGAGCCGTCCACCATACAAATATTTCTCATACTTTCATTCCAAATCCAACCACATCCACTGAACTGAGCTGTACAGGCCCAAGAGCCGTCCACCATACAAATATTTCCCATACTTATGACCTGGCTTTTAACATCTATGTTTCTTTGAGATGGCGATATAATATGTTCATTGGCTTGGAACCAGGCTTGACACTCACTCTCTGCATAACGAGCTAGCTCCAATGGATCTCTATCAATTCCTTTGAACATCTAATCGTTCCGAGCCTTCCAAGTATACCATATTAGCCATGGATATGGATCCCTGTCCAAGTCCGGTTCCATTATGGCATTTTTCCTCCAGAAGAGATAGTACATATTCGCATATGTGTTCTGTAGTGGAAACAAGGAAAGGCTGGTAGGCGTAGATGATAAGGCCCCAACTTGCATCGCAAGTGTACACTGAAATATTGCATGTGTAACTGATTCTTCTGATTCCCCACATCCTGGACAGTAATTATCACATCTCATATGTCTATAGTTTTAAAACTTGTTACAGTCATATGACCTGTTATTAATTGTCACATAAGATGGTACATCTTTTGGGGTGCCTTGACCTTCCAAGCATGTGTTTGGAGTTTTGTGATACTAGGTTCACAAACTACAGCCTCCTCCTCCTTCATCAATATATTCCGAGCAACCCAATATCCAAATTTAACTATGTACTGTCCATTTCTTGTATAACTCCAGCAATACGTGTCCCTGCGATGTGTTGAACTAATGGTCATACTCCTTATGAGTGGTATATCAGCAGCAGCTACATAGTTCTCCAGCGACCCACATCCCAAGACTTTGTTTCTTGATTAATAAGGTCACTCCCTCTCATATTCAAATGCAAAACTGGTGCAGATGGGGACGCTGGTCTCGCTGGTATGGTAGGAATCCATGGATCCTCCCATACTTTCACCTCATATCCCGAATGTATTTTTTGTCTAACTCCCAGCAATAGTAATTCTCGTGCCGCTGATATACTTGTTCAAACATACGATGGGCTACTGACAGTAAACTGACGCAAAGGCGAGCTCAATCGATAATACCGGCCTCTCAAAACTAGAGCTATCAGAGAATCTGGGTATTGGAGCAATCTCCATAACTGCTTTGCTAACAACGCCAGGTTAAACTCATGAATCATTCTGAACCCAATCCCTTCTTCCTCTTTAGATAATCATAATTAATCCCATGTTGACCAGTGTATCTCTTTTTGGGGGATTCGAACTTCACCAGAACTGTGCAATGGCACTAGCTAAAGCATCACAGATCTCCAACAGAAGTAGAAAGCAGGACATTACATAAGTTGGGAGTGCTAGCAGGATCGACTTGATCATAACTTCCTTGCCACCTTTTGATAACCATCTGCCCGTCCATCCATTTACTCTACTCCCTAGCTTATCCTTTAAGAAGGCGCAAAGATTGCATTTAGATCCACTGATATCCTCTGGGATTCCTAAGTATGTTCCCATCCCTCATTCATTCTAAATCCCAAGTGTGTCTTTAATCTCTTGCCTAACCTTATGTCCGATTCTCTTACCAAAAAGTAGAGATGCTTTATCAAAATTAATGCATTGTCCTAAAGCTTGTCCATATTTCCTGACCACTTTCATTATTTCTTCACATTCACGGGGCTCTGCCTTGCAAAAGAACAGGCTATCATCAGCAAAGAGAGGTGAGATACCGAAGGACACGCACGCGTGATGCGGATCCCCGTTATCTTTCCTTGATTCCCTACATGATTTAGAAGGCGAACGAGCACTTCCATGCATAGAATAAAAATGAAAGGGGACTGTTGGGGTCAAAATCGGTACGACGGAATTAATAGCCAAAACTTTCCGCAAGAATACAAAAAAAACAGTTTTATAAAGCTCGAGAATCGTTTTATAAAACTCGAAAAATCGTTTTATAAAACTCGAGAAATCGTTTTATGAAGCTCGAGAAATCGTTTTATAAAGCTCGAGAAATCGTTTTATAAAACCCGAAGATCGTTTTATAAAACTCGAGAGATCGTTTTATGAAACTCGAAGATCGTTTTATAAATCGAGAGATTGTTTTATAAAACTCGAGAGATCATTTTATAAAACTCGAGAGATCGTTTTATAAAATTCGAGAGATCGTTTTATAAAACTCGAAAGATCGTAAAACTCGAAGATCGTTTTATGAAACTCGAAGATCGTTTTATAAAACTCGAGAGATTGTTTTATAAAACTCGAGAGATCATTTTATAAAACTCGAGAGATCGTTTTATAAAACTCGAGAGATCGTTTTATGAAACTCGAAGATCGTTTTATAAAACTCGAGAGATCGTTTTATAAAACTCGAGAGATCGTTTTATAAA